GAGCGCACTCACGGCTGCCTAAGCTGCCGCCGAAGGACGCTGGGCGGCGCCGGGAGCTGAAGGCGGGCTATACTGGTGGGGATATTGTTTTCGGTCGCGGCCGCGAGACCACGGTCAGGCGGCAAGAGCAACACTAGTGGGGACACTTTTGTTTGGTCAGCGGCTCCAAGGCAACGGACAGGGAGCGGAAGCGGCGTCCGGGTCACGGTACGGGGCTAATTGCAAGACAATTCGTCGCCAGCCAGAGTCGGCGGACAGACAGCTCGCATCTGCACATGCACTGGACAAAATGAACAGAATTCGAAAGGCAAACGCACCCAGGCGCAGCATTCCAAACCAGAGTGGGCAGGCCGCCGACTGGTGGGGATGCGCAAAGCGTCAAACATTCCTACGCCGTTCGGGGAGCAATCTGGGCATCATTGCTGGACGATTGCTGGACGAGTGTACGCCCCAACATGGGTCCCAGAACAAAGCCTACACAGGTCCGCACAGGGCCCATCTCGGGGCCCTGTGCGGCCCTTCTTGGCGCTTCTTGGGAAGTGCCCCAACCGTCTTGGAGCAATTTGGAGCCGCACAGGCTGCACGGATTCGGAGAGCCAGCCACGCTATCTCCGATCTGTTGGCACAGGTCAGACGACGACCTAAATCATCGAGCAGCCACCTGGCATACCTGAGTCCAATCGGCGATGGGGAGGATAATTGAGCATAGGAACGGGCACTAACACTCGTGCGGGGATAATATTTAACTGCTGTCGCACGTGTTCTTCCCGACATCTCAGGACACACTCCGCCGACGAGCCCTCGACACAGAGCGGAACACCACTTGGCGGCCGTCAAGCCGTGGTTCCAGATGTGACACACGCATATGGAACACACTACGTCGCTATGTTACGCATACGATAGATGGGAGAGAACGCACACAACACCTGCCTCAGAAGAAAGTTGGGTGCATTTCTCCGCAGGCGGGCACACATGGCATCTACCCGCATGGTATCCAAAAATTATTTTTCTTACAACAGTAACAATAACAACCACGCAACAACAATGGCAGCAACCACAAAATGCAACAACAACAACAACAACAGCAACAGCAACAACAACAACAACAATTACTAGCACGTGGGGACACTCCGTTCTCACCAGTGCCAGGGTTTTCATACGACGCCCGCCAATACCCCACTTTGTGGGGGGGCCGGTTCAAGCTCTACCACATTTCCAAACGACTCTTCGCCACCACCCACACCCAGCTTCCCGCCCTATGACGTTCGGACACTTCACTTCGTGGCCTGCGGACGACCGTGGCTACTACACTGGCGCATGGGTACAGTGACTTGTTGTGGTAACATTTTCTGGACGCTAGCTTAGTATACGACTTTTCCCCCTGTTCCAACACTGGACACCTGTACTGGTTTTTGGTGGTAACGTGTTCCTGACGCTAGAATAGGAAACCACGGTAAACCAGTACGACGCCGGTACCTAGAAATTTTGAAAATTCGTACAGATGTTTTTCGAGGACCTACGGTGCGATTCGTATGATTTTATGTTGCGCGGTGCTAAAATTCCTAAGAAACCCAATGGTTTTTGAAGATTTCGGCGTGCGCGCGCGAAGAAAAAACGAATATGTCCCGCATGGTATTATTTGACAAGGATGATGGCCCTGGCAGGTGCGCAACCGTTGTTGGAGAAGTTCGAAGCACGTGAAAAAGTTGTTCGCGAAAGCCCGTTTGACAGAAATGTTTAAAAAGTGTTCGGTTTCCTACAAATCCGCAAGAGCGCGCGAGATGAAATTTCGACACTTTTTTTTGAAAAAAACATTGGGTTTTTCATGTTTTTATGTTAAAATCGCTACGAAAACTAAGGTTTTGGAAGGATTTCATCTTGCGCGCGCGAATGTGCATTTCGTGTTATTTTTTGCAAAGGATTCTTGAAGTTTGGTTATGTTAGAACAAGACATGTCATTTTATATCGTTTTTTGACAGGGAAAGCGGGCGTCAACAAAACAACCGGATCCGGACTCCCCCGTTTTGCCTGAGACTTCCTCACGAAAATGATGAAAATGTGGCTGCGGCCTAGGCGCGGCGAGGGGGGCGTGCACCAGGGGGCCCAACAATAATTATTCTTTAGAAGTAATAATATTCAACAACAACAACAACAACAACAACAACAACAACAACAACAACAACAACAACAACAACAACAACAACAACAGCACACGTGGGGACACTCCGTTCTCACCAGTGCCAGGGTTTTCATAGGAGGCGGGCAATACCCCCACTTTGTGGGGGGGCCGGTTCAAGCTCTACCAAATTTCCAAACGACTCTTCGCCACCACCCACACCCAGCTTCCCGCCCTATGACGTTCGGACACTTCACTTCGTGGCATGCGGACGACCGTGGCTACTATTCAGGGCCCCGCGGCCGACGACGACGGCGTGCGCGCGCGAAGAAAAAACGAATGTGTCCCGCATGGTATTATTTGACAGGGATGATGGCCCTGGCAGGTGCGCAACCGTTGTCGCAGAAGTTCGAAAAAGTTGCTCGCAAAAGCCCGTTTGACAGAAATGTTTAAAAAGTGTTGGGTTTCCTACGAATCCGCAAGAGCGCGCGGGATGAGATTTTGACATTTTTTTGTTGAAAAACCATTGGTTTTTTGATGTTTTTATGTTAAAATCGCTACGAAAACTAAGGTTTTGGAAGGATTTCGTCTTGCGCGCGCGAATGTCCACTTTACCTTATTTTTTGCAAGGGATTCTTGAAGTTTGGTTATGTTAGAACAAGAAATGTCCACTTTAGCTTATTTTTTGCAAGGGAAAGCGGATCGTAACAAAACAACCGGATCCGGACCAACCCGTTTTGCCTGAGACTTCCTCACGAAAATGATGAAAATGGCTGCGGCCTAGGCGCGGCGGGGGGGTCGTGCACCAGGGGTCCCAACAATAATTATTCTTTAGAAGTAATAATGTTCAACAACAACAACAACAACAACAACAACAACAACAACAACAACAACAACAACAATCACTTTACCCGAACGCTCAGTGTTCTCACCAGTGCCAGGGTTTTCATGCGACGCCAGCCAATACCCCCACTTTGTGGGGGGGCAGTGCAAGCTCTACCAAATATCCACACGACTCTTCGCCACCACCCACACCCAGCTTCCCGCCCTATGACGTTCGGACACTTCACTTCGTGGCCTGCGGACGACCGTGGCTACTACACTGGCGTGGAGTACACACCCACAGAAGTTGTTAAGCCTACGTTCGTACACCCACAGAAGTTGTTAAGCCTTGTGAACCCACAAGGCTTAACAACTTGTGAACCCACACCCGTTGCAAGAGCGTGCGAAAGTAGCTCGCGCGAGCTCATGTAACATAAATGTTGGAAAACCATTGGTTGTTTTAGGATTCGGACAGCGCGCGCGGGTGGAAATTTTGAAAAGTCGTGCAGGTGTTTTTCGAGGACCTACGGTGCGATTCGTGTGATTTTATGATGCGCGGTGCTAAAATTCTTAAGAACCCAATGGTTTTTGGAGATTTCGGCGTGCGCGCGCGAAGAAAAAACGAATGTGTCCCGCATGGTATTATTTGACAGGGATGATGGCCCTGGCAGGTGCGCAACCGTTGTCGCAGAAGTTCGAAAAAGTTGCTCGCAAAAGCCCGTTTGACAGAAATGTTTAAAAAGTGTTGGGTTTCCTACGAATCCGCAAGAGCGCGCGGGATGAGATTTTGACATTTTTTTGTTGAAAAACCATTGGTTTTTTGATGTTTTTATGTTAAAATCGCTCCGAACACTAAGCTTTTGGAAGGATTTCGTCTTGCGCGCGCGAATGTCCACTTTACCTTATTTTTTGCAAGGGATTCTTGAAATTTGATTATATTAGAACAAGAAATGTCATTTTATAGTGTTTTTTGCAAGGGAAAGCGGGGGGGAACAAAACAACCGGATCTTGATCACATCGAATTACCTGAGGCTTCCTCACGAAAATGATGAAAATGTAGCTGCGGCCTAGGCGGCGCAGGGGGGCCGTGCACCAGGGGTCCCAACAATAATTATTCTTTAGAATTAATAATGTTCAACAACAACAACAACAACAACAACAACGCCCTCTGGAACGCTCCAGAGGGCCCCAATACGAACCCTGCCAAAACGCTTCGACAGGCTCCCAAGACGCTCCGAATCTCTGCAAACATGTTCCTCCCTATCCCTCTGCCCATGACTCTCTCTCTCTCTCTCATTATTTCTCTCTCTCTCTCTCTTTCTCCCGCATCATCCTCGTCCTCCTACGTGTTGCGGTCTTCTCTAAGCTTGGGAAGCGAGGTCTTCAATGTTATGGTGTACTTGGACCTGGGGACGAGAGACGACACATGTTACGGCTTTCTGGGCCCCGAGGAGGCCAGCTATCACATCTCATGACTTTCTCGAGCCTGCGGAAGAGCGTGTCACATGTTACGGACCTCCAGAGGGACGAGAATCCTCCTGTCTTGCTTGCGCTCTTCGGGGCAGTCCTCGCAGGGCCACCATACGGAGCTGCGATGGCGTGGTGGCGGAGAGCTTGCCACGGGCACCTTGCAAATTCCACGACTGGTCTGCAGCCCCCTTCTGGTACCGTCCGGTTACGCAGCGCGCCGCCCCCCAATAGGGAACCCACAAAAGACGTACGCGTCAAACTACGTACATGAACACGGCCCCTCGATCCGCGAGACTGGCCGCGTGATACGAAAATTCGCGCAATGCGTGCTCTCGAAATCAGCGTGGATTCATGTACGCGTACGTCCTTCTTTCGCTCATGACCCAAAGGGACCCGGATCGAGATCTTCATTCCCGACAAGCAAGCAGGAGCATCATTCCGAGACAGTCGGGCCGCCAGAATGCAGGCGTCACACCCACTCCGCGCGGGCCGGGCTCCGTGTCACCGAGGTCCGGGCTACGTCAGGTGGGTAGTCTACGTGGGGGGGAGGGTGCACCGTCCGCTTGCGCCGCGCGCCGCCCCCCAGGGGGACCCGGATCGGGATCTTCATGGGCATCTGCACCATCATCGGCTCGAGCTCGCCCGGAGGCCCCGCGGAGCCGGCCGCCTCGGCGCGCAGAGGGCCCGGCGGCCCCCGCGGAGCCGCCGCCGCCGCCGCCGCCGCCGCCGCTGTCGTGCGCGGCAGTGGCGCCCCCGGGGCGAGCCTCGCTCGCAGGGCCTGCAGCAGGAAGCCCACGAGAAGCCTGCCACGAGGAGCCCAACCTGGAGACCCCAGGACGTCCATCGATGTTTCGTGTGGGAACGTCATGCTTTCCATAGCAGAGCCATCGAAACCCAAGAAGCCCAGGGCACCCTGGAGGCAAACAGGGTGCTTCTCGGCACGGGTCTCCACTGTGACCAGCCTCGAGCTCATCCGTGTCACTAAGGTTGAAAGGCCAAAAGGCGATGACAGTCTTGGGGGTGCGCCCTCAGAAACTGCGGGACGCTCGAGATCGGCAGCGAGATGAGGCGATATCGTTCAATCCTGTACATCGGCCGTTTCCGAAACGTCCGAATCGTTCCACATCGAAAGATTCCAGGTCGCCCGCGGCGTTCAACGTTGAACGCCGCTGGCGGGGTCAACGCCGGTCGACTCGAAACAAACCTACCGTACAGTGGAGGCCAGTCCACCAGAAGCATTCCACAAGAGACCCAACCCTGAGACCCCAGGACGTCCATTGATTTTTGTTGTGGGAACGTCACGCCTTCTACAGCAAAACTATCGAAGCCCACAAACCCAGGGCACCCTGGAGGCGAGCAGGGTGTTCCTTGGCATGGGTCTCCACTGCAAACACCCCAGCTGCCCGATTTGTGGGACGCTGGGGCGGCTGCACTCCGAAGTCCTTCGCCGATCTCCTCGGCTCCCTGGCCGACCAAACGACGTCGGCGTACACATCGAGCCCTTCCGACCCCATCCGCCGCTGCCACCCCCCAGACTTCGGTGGCAACCCATGGGAGCCTCCCATACCAGCTTGCTGTTTCGTGCACATCGACGCTCATCGACGCTCAGTCGACGCTAATCGCCGCCAAATCGACGCTAATCGGGGCTAAATTGGCGCCATCTCATCGTGTACCAGACGCTAATCGAAGCTAGTGCACCCTAGAGACAGAATCACGGTTTGGTGCATGCATATGAGCATGGATTAACCGATCCCTATCGCCTATGGCGGGGCCTGGGCCCCACTGGCCAATGTATCCCCCTAGATGGGAGTACAGGCTGTTCCATTCGGGTTTCAAGGAGCATCTCCCCACCAGGATAGGGACCAGGATAGGGATAGGGATCGGTGAAACGATACTGAACATCCAGCCCTTCCGACCTTCCTCCGCTGCTGCACCCCCTGCCCCCCCCCGACGTCGGTGGCAACTCGTGGGAGCATCCCGTACCACGCTGGTGGCCCTTGCAAATCGACGCTCCTCGACGCTGATCGACGCTCAGTCGACGCTAATCGACGCCAAACCGACGCTAATCGGAGCTAGCGGTGCTAATCGACGCCAATCGACGCTAAATCGCCCGCAACCCCGCTAAGCAGAGCTAGCGGCGCTAATCTACGCCAATCGACGCTAATCGACGCTAAATCGCCCCCCCTGCCTATCGGAGCTAGAGAGGCTAATCGACACTAGTCGACACTAGTCGACGCTGATCGACGTTCAGTCGATGCTCATCGACGCCAAACCGACGCTAATCGGAGCTAGCGGTGCTAATCGACGCCAATCGACGCTAATCAACTCAAATCAACGTTAATCGGGCTAATCGACGCTAATCGGCGCTAATCGACGCTAATGGGCACTAATCGGCTCTAATCGGCGCTACTCGGCGCTACTCGACGCTCATCGGAGCTAGAGAGGCCAATCGACGCTCTTGATTTTGGTGGGCACGCCACGCTCTCCACAGCAAAACAATCGAAACCCAAGAAACACAGGGCACCCTGGAGGCGAGCGGAATGTTTCTTGGCATGGGTCTCCACGCACTTATCGACGCTAATCGACACGAATCGCCGACAATCGGCGCTCATCGGCGCTACTCGGCGCTACTCGGCGCTACTCGGCGCTCATCGGAGCTAGAGGGGCGAATCCACGCTCATCGGCGCTAAACGACGCTACAGTAGGGGCCCGATCACAAGAAACCTGCCACGAGAAGCCCAACCCTGAGACCCCAGGGCGTCGATTGATTGTGGTTTGGGAGCGTCGCGCCTTTCCTCGCAGAAAGATCGACACCCAAGAAACTCAGGGCACCCTGGAGGCGAGCAGGGTATTGCTTGGCATGGGTCTCCACGGGCTAGTCGACGCCAATCGGCGCTAATCGACGCTAATCGACACTAATCGGCGCTAATCGGCGCTAATCGACGCTAATCAAGCTAATCGAGGCCATTCGGCGGTGATCGACGCTGATCGACGCTAGTCGGCGCTCATCGACACTAATCGACGCGAATCGGAACTAATCGACGCTAATCGGCGCTCATCGGCGCTGATCGGCGCTACTCGACGCTAATCGGAGCTAGAGAAGCTAATCGACGCTAATCGACACGAATCGCCGACAATCGGCGCTAATCGGCGCTAATCGGCGCTAATCGGCGCTCATCGGCGCTACTCGGCGCTACTCGGCGCTACTCGGCGCTCATCGGAGCTAGAGGGGCGAATCCACGCTCATCGGCGCTAAACGACGCTACAGTAGGGGCCCGATCACAAGAAACCTGCCACGAGAAGCCCAACCCTGAGACCCCAGGGCGTCGATTGATTGTGGTTTGGGAGCGTCGCGCCTTTCCTCGCAGAAAGATCGACACCCAAGAAACTCAGGGCACCCTGGAGGCGAGCAGGGTATTGCTTGGCATGGGTCTCCACGGGCTAGTCGACGCCAATCGGCGCTAATCGACGCTAATCGACACTAATCGGCGCTAATCGGCGCTAATCGACGCTAATCAAGCTAATCGAGGCCATTCGGCGGTGATCGACGCTGATCGACGCTAGTCGGCGCTCATCGACACTAATCGACGCCAATCGGAACTAATCGACGCTAATCGGCGCTAATCGGCGCTCATCGGCGCTACTCGACGCTAATCGGAGCTAGAGAAGCTAATCGACGCTAATCGACACTCATCGGCGCTGAACGACGCTACAGTAGGGACCCGATCACAAGAAACCTGCCACGAGAAGCCCAACCCTGAGACCCCAGGGCGTCCATTGATTTTTGGTGTGGGAGCGTCACGCCTTCCATAGCAGAAACATCGAAACCCAAGAAACCCAGGGCACCCTGGAGGCGAGCAGGGTGTTCCTTGGCATGGGTCTCCACGGCCTAGTGACGCCAATCGGCGCTAATCGACGCTAATCGATAGTAATCCGCGCTGATCGATGCTAATCAATGCTAATCGGGCTAGTCGACGCCAAGCGGCGCTAATCGACGCTAATCGACGCTAATCAACGCTAATCGGCGCTAACCCGCGCTTATCGACGCTAATCGGGCCAATCAGCGCTAATCGACGCTAATCGGCGCTAACCGGAGCTAATCGACACTAATCGAGCTAATCGACGCCAATCGACGCTAATCGACGATAAAAGACGCTAGTCGGCACTCATCAACGCTAGTCGGCGCTAATCGGCGCTACTCGGCGCTACTCGGCGCTACTCGACGCAAATCGGAGCTAGAGAAGATAATGGACGCTAATCGACGCTCATCGGCGCTAGAGTAGGGGCCCGATCACAAGAAACCTGCCACGAGAAGCCCAACCCTGAGACCCCAGGGCGTCCATTGATTTTTGGTGTGGGAGCGTCACGCCTTCCATAGCAGAAACATCGAAACCCAAGAAACCCAGGGCACCCTGGAGGCGAGCAGGGTGTTTCTTGGCATGGGTCTCCACGGCCTAATCGACGCCAATCGGTGCTAATCGACGCTAATCGACACTACTCCGCACTAATCGGCGATAATCGGGCTGATCGACGCCATTCGGCGCTAATCGACGCTAATCGACGCTAGTCGGCGCTAATCGACGCTAATCGGCACTAATCGGCGCTACTCGGCGCTACTCGACGCTCATCGGAGCTAGAGAGGCTAATCGACGCTAATCACCACCCCCCTGATCAGCCATAAAAGGACCCCCAACTCCTTGGGAGGCTGATCTAGGAGGGCCGGGAAGATTAGGGCTAGGGGGTCTTTTTCTGCAGATATACCGAACCAAACCACCCAGATCTACTGTCCCTAATGCAAAGACGGGGACCTCAGTGAGGCTGCGTCTTCATCGTGTTTCGGCGGTAGACAAACCTCCCTTTAGCAAATCACCCTTTAGTGAAACCGGCCCAGGACGGAAACTGACGGACCTGGACCCGCAGAAATGATGGCCGGGACGCCCCCTCGCGAACCGAAAACGACCAAATCGCAAATCGACGTGTCAGGTAGGAGGTCTATCAACATCCGAGTGTTATCAGGGTTGTGGATGCCACGACAATGGACACCCTAACAGTCCTATCATTGAGTTTAAAATGTGTCTAGAATGCAAGAAAATAGTCTAAATATGTTGTAGACATGTTTTTGCACGTTTGAAACATGTTTAACACATGTCTCAGGCATCTGGAAATCATTTGGCAACGCGCTTCCTGTCCATAGATCGTCCTCCACAATATTACGGTTAGGGCTTCTGTCATCTTTGACGACCCCCGACCCGCGGGGCGGCGCGCCCCCAGGAGCGAGCTCCGGATCACCGCGGGCTCCGGCGGGGCACCGCCGGCCATGCGGGAACACATCCGGCGCGGGAGGCACTGCGCGCGCTGGTGCGCAGCGCTCCTCGGGGGGGGATGCGGACAAGCGAGCTCCACGACTCGCAAAGTAGCTACTCTTAGGTCGGGCATGTCCTCCTGCAGGCGGATTTTGGACGGACAACAAAAAATAGTCGACAGAATATGCAATGATAGTCAATACTAATCGGAGAATTGTCCTCTGATTATTTTTGACTATTTTTGAATATTCCTCCTGTAGAGGGACATGCCCGACTTAAAACTATTCGCCAATGGCTTGGGTCCGCCATGGGGGATTCACGATAGATTACATCGATGCGGACAAGAAACCACTCTGCGAGTAACCACTCTACGAGTCGTGGAAAGCGCTCGGTGAAGGAATGGAAACCGGGCCAGAAAACAAACGACACCACCCCACCTGCGGCCCCAGGGGGCTTAAGCGTCTTCGGGGAAAGCCCGCGTGGGCTTTGCGTGGCATGCGCCACGGCAGCATGGAGGGCCGCAGGTACAGGTCGGGCATGTCCCCCTAAAGGCGGATTTTGGGTGGGGTGGTGTCGCTCGTTTTTGGGGTCGAGACATGGGCAGCTGCCGACACCGCGGGCCACCTATGGAAGGAAGGAGACTGGGCCAGAAAACAAACGACACCACCCCACCTGCGGCCCCAAGAGGGGCTTAAGCGTCTACGAGGAAAGCCAGCGTAGGCTTCTGCGCGGCATGCGTCACGGCCCCCGCAGGGCCTTGGCGCAGCACGGAGGGCCGTGGGGTGGGGTGGCATCGCTCGTGTTTTCTGTCGAGAGACGGGCAGCTGCCGACATTGCGGGCCCCCTAGGGCCTCTCCTGGCTGGGATGCCGAGGCAGGAACAGTAGAGACACACCGCATACCGGGAACTGTGTGTGACTCTGTTGGGAACGCACGCCCAGCACGACCACACGGCATAAAATATTGTGGCAGATCTATCTACATAGATCTACAAATACATACGTACATAGATGCATACATACATACGTACGTACATACATACATACAGACAGACAGACAGACAGAAATACATGCATACATGTATATACATATATACACATATATATATACATGTATATGAATATATATATATATATACACATATATAGCGTTTCCCGAGCGGTATGATCAGAAAGCGCCCGGCACGGAGCTCGTACTATGAGGTTTCCGAGCGTGCGCGTCGCCATTGCGTGGCCGACGCACGTATCAGTTCAGTATGCGTGGGCGGCGCCGAGTCAGCATCGAATCGGGCAATCGGGTCGGACCGAAACGATTGTCGAATCGAGCCGAATCGGCACGGAGCGGGAATCGAATCGGATGGGCGGCGGCAGGGTGCACAGCAACGCCATGCCAGCATCGGGCCGCATCGGACATCTCGGGCCATGCAAGCGTCGGGCCGCATCGAATATCCCGAAAATCTGAACAACTTCCGCTTTCAAACCGAATCGACTCTGCATTCGCATGAAAAATCCGACTCTGAATTCGAATCGACAAATCTGACATCTCTCCATCTAGATGCGGCCGATCCGCTTTGAGTCGGGCTGGACGGAGCCTTAAGTCGGACATGTCCTCCTACAGGCGGATCTTGGCCGGAAAATTAGAAACACTCCGAAAAACTCAACAACAACAACAACAAAAACTCAATTCTTTTATAGACACATATATATATGCATAAATGAATGAATATATCCATGCACATTTATATATACATGGATATGGGAAATTATGCGTTGTACTTGATATACATATATGTATATACATACATATATATACATACATGTATACATATGTATATGTACAACAGTTTGATTCTTATGTTTTCAAACATCCCCAGACTGTGTTTGACTATTCGTGAACGTTCCTCCCGTAGAGGGACAGGCCCGACATAAACGGAGCCGATATCAAAGCGGATCGACCGGCTACAAAAAGAGGACCCCGCGAGGCGAATCCAGCCACGGCGGCCCGGGCCGCCCCCGGGAGGCACGGAGGGGCAGGAGCGAAGGGGGGGCGTATCGCTACGACTCCGCCGCGCCGCGGCGACAAGCAGTCCAGTTGCTCTCGCTGGCGCTGCTACCTGCCCCCCCTCCTCCTCCTCCTCCTCCTCCTCCTCCTCCTCCTCCTCCTCCTCCTCCTCCTCCTCTCCTCCTCCTCCTCCTCCTCCTCCTCCCCTCCTCCTCCTCCTCCTCCTCCTCCTCCTCCTCCTCCTCCTCCTCCTCCTCCTCCTCCTCCTCCTCCTCCTCCTCCTCCTCCTCCTCCTCCTCCTCCTCCTCCTCCTCCCGCTGCTTCGTGTCCGGATGTCGCGGGCACCGGTTCCTGACGCCGCGTGGACCGTTCCACCTCGAACGGTCGCGCCTCTCTGGCGGTGCAAATCGCTCGACATGGGCCGATTCTGGGCCATGGGAGGCGTTCAACAACGAACGCCAGCGCCGGGGTCGCCGCAGCGTCAACGCGGCGCAGACCTATTGTGTCGGTGTGTCGGTGCGTTCGTTCGGCGGCGAGCGAAGGGGGGAAGTGAGAAGGAGAAGACCTTCTCAGAACGTTCAGAAGTCCCCTGGCCTTCCGAGAGGCGTTCTGAGTCTTCCCCGAAGCCAGAAAAAACCTGCTCTGAAAGCGCGAGGGCTTCTGAGGAGTCGCGCCGCCTGCCGAGAAGGCCTTCTCCTGCTCATTTCCTCCCCTCGCTCTCCGCCGTCAACGCGGCGCAAACCTACCAGAAACCCAACCCTGAGACCCCAGGACGTCCACGGACTTTTGGCGTGGAAACGTCACGCCTCCCATAGCGAAAACCATCGAAACCCAGGAACCCCAGGGCACCCTGGAGGCGAGCAGGGTGCCTCTTGGCGTGGGTCTCCGCCGTGCCGCGTCGCTGTGCCGCTGCGTTCGTCTCCCCGGAGCTCCGGCCCGGAGTCTTGGACGGCGAGGGCGAGAAGCGGTGACGAGCACGGCGGACGGCAGCACGCCCTCGCGCGGGGCGGCGGGCGGCGGCCAGCGGCCCGGGACACCGCCGGCGGAGGGGCCCGCGGCCGGCGGCGCGGGCCTCCCTGCCTCGCCCAGGCCAGTCCTGAGGGGCCCAGGGAGGCAGAAGTGCAGGGACACAGACTCCAGGATTCCCGACTATCTGTGTGCCTGTGTTGTGGGGGATCGTCTTCCCCTGGATTTCCAAAAATCTTCCCATGCACTAGGGGCCCGACCGCAAGACGGCTTCCGCGAGAAACCCAACCCTGGGACCCCAGGGCGTCCATGGATTTCTGGTGCGGGGACGTCACACAGTCCATAGCAAAACCATCGCAACCCAAGAAATCCAGGGCACCGTGGAAGCGAGGGTGTTCCTTGGCATGGGTCTCCACTGCATTTTCATGGACATCTGCGTTTGCTCGTGTCTGTGTCTACTTCTCCCTCCCGGTAACCCCCATCGCATGGAAGAGATACAAGAGGAAAAAACACATTTCCTGGACCCGCGCTGGACCCGCGCTGGATTTCCTGGATCCGCGCGGAGCGCCAAAAGTTCATGTTTGCGTGGCCTTTTCTTCTCCGAAGAGAGCAGGAGCGGACGCAAAAAGTGCCGGAAGCTCACGCCAACCTCCCAGCGGTCCGCGCTGGACCCTTCGCGAAAGAAAAACGCTCTCCAGGGGGCGGCGCACCTCGTGGCCCTCCGGGCCCGGGCGCTCGATGTTTTGTTTTCTCGTGTTCGAGGTTCCTCTTGGAGATCACGGCTATAGCAGGTTGGGAACTGGTCTTTGAATTCATAAAACTGGTTTTTGAGCTCAAGACACAAATTTTTCGTTCCAGATACCAGGCCCTCCGGGCCCGGGCGCTCGATTTTGTTTCCTGGTGCTCGAGGCTCCTCTTGGAGATCACGGCTAAGGTTGGAATAATAATTCGGCGGCGACGACAGGGGCGAATAGCCCAGGGGCGGGCACTACACGTTTTCGCCCGGGAGCCTCTTCGAAGACATAGATCATCGGCCTCACCTGAAGACGTGTACTGCTCTCCCCTGGGCTGTTCGCCCCTATCGTCACCTCGGAGGTAACATCATCAGCCCTGGATGGCCTGGAGCTCCGGTGCACTCGAGTCTTACGTTTCCCCGATATATCACTGCACCGACATTGCAGACGTGCTGCAGCAGATTTTTGCGCGAATTACTGTCAATGAAAAAAAAACGAAACGGCCAGCGAAAAACGAAGTGAATTTCACGTGGATGTTTCGTAGTCTTCAGTCCTGGCCAAAGGAAGATCCGCGCGAAATTCACATCAAAATCCAGAGCGAAACGCTCCAGGACGATCTGGGCCCACCCCTGTGTTTTCTCAACGAAATCCGCTCTGCGAAGTTGGCGCCATGAGATACACTTAAGCCGGGCCTGTCCCCCTACAGGGGGATTTTCGACGAAAAATAAAAAACCAATACCCCAAAAATAATCCAAAAATGATCAAAAAGTAGTCTGGGGACTATTTTTTGAATATTCTTTGACCTTTTGGGGGTATTTTCGGGGTATGGTTCATGTTTCGTCGAAAATCCCCCTGCAGGGGGACACGCCCGACATAAAGATACACGCCCCCTCGCAGCCTGCGGGCCGCAGCCCCCGCCGCAGACCCTGGGAGGAAAAAGCACCGGGCCTCCGCCGGCCGCTCCCGGCCGCCCTCGCGCCGCCCCGGCCACGGCGCGGGGCCGAGGCGGGGCGGCGGAGGAGGAAGGAGAGAGCAGCGAGGAGGCGAGACGACGAGGATACGGAGACACACGCACGCACACGCACGCACACACGAGCACACACACACAAGGACACACACACACACACACACACGCACACACACACGCACTCACTCACACGCACGCACGCACTCACTCACACGCACGCACGCACGCACACACACACACACACACAAGCACACACACACGCACACACACAAGCACACACACACAAGACACACACACAAGCACACAAACAAGCACACGCACGCACGCACGCACGCACGCACGCACACACACACACAGAGAA